GGTCCCGGTCCGGTACGGGCACGACACTGAGGGTTGCGATCCGTTGCCGGACACAGAAAAAGACAAAAAAAAAAAAAAAGCTCCAGGACCTTCTAACTGGTGGTGACCCCTCCCACTAAAATAAATAATAACGTTGCCGGTCCCAGTCCGGTACGGGCGCAACACTGAGGGGTGCGATCCGTTGCCGGACACAGAAAAAGACAAAAAAAAAAAAAAGCTCCAGGACCTTCTAACTGGTGGTGACCCCTCCCACTAAGATAAATAATAAATAAATAAATAAATAAATAAATAAAATCTCAGTATGATAAGAAGGAGAAAACGTTCCCTCTTCTGCAGCAGCAGAAATAAAAACAGATTCTTTTCTGCATTATAAAACCATTGCTGCAAATGTTATTTCTAACAAGGGAGTCTTGTCACACAATCAGATTTAAGTGGCTTTTGCTTTGTCCTGTGAAAGTAACCTTTAACTTTTAAAAAGCTTGTCTTCCTTAATAATGTGTTGCCCTGGCAATAATATTTAAATTTACATCTCTGTTTTCTAGAAGGTATAAATACCTGTGAGTTTTCTTTGTTAAGCCAGAGGGGGAGCATCGTCACATCTCTGTTCTCCCACGTGCATGAGGTAAAATAAACTCAGGGACTGCAAGATTTCTTAGTCAAACAGTTTGGGAGAGTCTTGTTTCATTTAAATCAACATGTAGGAGGCAAGGGGAGGGTAGGGGCATGGGGAGAGGTGGAAGTTGTGAACACACAACGTCTGGGGATGGCAAGGGAGCTGACTGAGGACAGGTGCAAGGAGGGTGAGATGGCACCATGAGGCCCATGAGCTGAGGTCAGGAGCCCTGCATTTGTCCTCGTGCCATCTGCAAGGTAGCAGCATTTCTTGCTAGCAGTGCTTGGCTGCCTGTGCATGGGATCAGGGAAGATGGCTGGTGGGATTAACTCAGGTGGTGATCTGTGGTGGAAGCTAGGGGCCAGGGGATTGTGAGTATCTGCAGTGTTGATGAAAGACTGAATGGTCCAGGCTGCCCAGGGAAGGAAAGTGATGGCAGGGCAGGGGGATGAAGGATTGGGAGAAAAAGGACAGGGCCTGGAGGAAGACAAGGGGATAGGAGAGGTGGGGTAGTGAGAGTGAAAGACATTGCGTTTTTAGCTTTCGAAGGAGAAGCAGTTGAAGACCCTGGATGTGGCTGATGTGGGCTAAGGTCCTTGGGACTGAAGAGATCACAACGCTGGCACTGCTGAGTTGAGTAGGTCGCCCAGCCAGGGTGTCAGTTGGGGTTAAGAGGAG